ACCGGAGGCCCGTGTAGAGTTCCTGCACCGAGGGCACGTTCTTCAGAGACAGCGTCAGGTAGCCGTGGCCGTGGAATTTAACTGAGCGGGCCACCTGCAGGAGGCAGAGAAGGAAAAACACAATCACAGGGCGTTTCTCCATTACAAGTGAGCAAGGCAGCCACAGCAAGTCGATCCGTGCCTCGGTTTCCCAATCAGTAAAATGGGGATAACAGCACTGCCCTACCTCACAAGGGTGTTGTGAGGATAAATACAGTAAAGGCTGTGCAGTGCTCAGGCCTGGTCGACACTTAAACATTAATTTGACTTAGCTACGCTAGTCAGGGGTGCGAAGAAACTCCTCACTATCACTGACGTAGCTATGCCAGCCTAACCCTCAGCGCAGACACAGCTTTGTCGACAACAGAACCCTTCCGTTGCATAGCAACCATCACTCTTGGAGGTGGTGTTCCTACACTGATGGAAAAATCCCTTCTGTCGGTCGGTACAGGCTGCGTCCACACTACAGGGCTGTGCTGGCATAGCTACAGTCTCCATAGTGTGAACATACCCTCAGACACTGTAGTAGTGGGGACCAGGTAAGTACCAGAGATACGGGGATGTGTGTACATCACACATGGCGGTGTGCGTTTCCTAACCGTTTACTCAGCACCAGCACTTGCTGCTAAGAGCCGCTCTGACTCGCCTCTGGGCTGGGTCTCTGCTGGCGTACTTGTTTTACGGCAGTTTAAGCGAGAGGAGAATCGGGCCTTTCATGCCGCGAGGCAGACGGCACTGAGATCACGATCACGACTCCGCAGTGTTTCCTTTGGCTCCTTTCTACAGCTGCAGCCTGTACCTCCTGGGTCAGAGGGTCAGGCAGCACCCATTGATGCAGACTGCCTCGCGCCTGACCCCTAGGGGCAGTGGAGAGAATTACCCAGCACGGTACCAGGACAGAAGCGCCCCACTTACCAAGAGGTCCGAGGTGCATCCGTAGCTCACTCCGACCGTATTCATGCGCTTTAGGTCAACGTATTTGCCAAGCGCCTTCAGGCCCTTCATGCACCCCCGGATTGAACCTCCCTTGGGGAAGATGGCCTTCAAGCTGAAAGGGGGGAAGTGGCTGAGTTAACAGGCCTGTGTCATGCAGGAGGTCAGACTAATGGCTCCTTCCAGCTTTGATATCTGTGACCAGACAGACCTGGCTCCAAGGGGAAAGATTTTACTCTGGGGCCGGGGAGATGTATGGTGCCCGGAGCACGTGTCAGCTCCACGTAGGGTGACCAGATGTCCATGGATGACCTCGTGCAAAGGGCAACAGCGAAGTTAAGTCACTGGAAATAAACAGGATGCAACTAAGAGCCCAACCCGCTTCCTCTCTGCAAGGAGCCCTGGTCCTGTCCATTACCAGGACAGAGATTTCTGCCTCATTTACAGGAGGAGAAGACAAATCTCTGAGCTGGCTCGACTGCTCGGACAGGGTGGGCAGTCACTTAGGCGCAGTGGCTAGCACACGAATGGCTGTGGGGCTGAGCAGTGATCTGGGGAGGGGGTGGGGGAGGTTTTGGTACCCATCCCATGACTCCTTCACGGAAGGATGCTGAAGCAATCAGGAGAAAGACCTTTGCCTCCCTTCAGAGAGCAACCCTGTCCCCTTCAATGACTCTCTCCTGGCAGGCTAGGACTAGGACTGTTACCTCTCGGGCAGCAGGGGCACGGGCACGCCCCCCAGGTAGTAGGAAACGGCTTTCTCCAGGGAGTTCTCCTGCTCCACCATGAAGATGGTCTGTCGCTCCAGCCGCACTAAGATGCGCTGCTTGAAACCCAGGGTGAGGAGGAAAATCTGGATCTGGAGTCGAAGAGGAATACGATAAATAAACTCCTGCACCCTCGGGGTGAGGGTTTATCCCCAGTGGAGCAGCACATGAGAATGAGAATCAGCCCCTCAGTGCCAGGACAGCGTCCCAGAGCCTGCAGGACTTGGTCTGTCCTGCTCTGAGCATCTATGTACCAGGAGCCCCGTCCACGCTATGGGAGAACCAGTGCCTATAAGTGCCACGCTTACGCTTTGGGTTTCCATAGCGAAGCGCTGGCCAGCAAGGGGGGGTGAGTCCCTCGGAGAGAGAGAGCCCCAGGAGGGAATCTCCGGCAAGCAGAGCCCCCAGATGCCGGCTAAGGGGATGGATTATCACAGTCAGCCTGTGCTGCATTACTCGGCTGCTTTGCACTGCTGCAGCCTTTCCTGCAACAAGGCTGCAAATGGAGGCAGTGCCTGCACCGAGACAGACAGTGCCTTGGGCTTCCCCTAGCCCGAGCTTGGGATGGTGACAGTCGCTTCACCGTGTTTACCCCTTCTGGAGCCTGTGATTACATCCCTCGACCTCACACAAAGACGCTGGACGAGCAGCCCACGCAAGCCCTTTGCCAGCGCTCCCCTGCCTTGGGAGAAGAGCAAGTGGCAGGCTCTCCGGTGAGTGGACACCGCGGAACTGAGCAGGTTCCCTCCAAACGGCCAGGTGTGGTGCCAGTTAGATCAGGCCAGGCATCTCCTGCTGCTGCCAGGCCCCCCACTTCTAGATCCCAAGCAGAGATCGCTCGTCTAGGAGCCCAGGGAAACACCGCCTCTGGGGTGGAGCGTCTCCTGCTCTGCATTACCGCTTTGTTCGTGGTGCTGCTGACGCTGAGAGACGTGGGGTCACTGTTGGGTGCTGCCATCTCAAGGACTTCCTTGAAGTCATAGTAAAGCACCAGCTTTCCGTCCTGAACAGCCAGGCACAGGAACTGGCCCTGTGGGGAGGGTAAAACAAGCCCAACTCAGCCTCCTGGTGTACTGAGGTGACAGTTCCCCGCCCCTGCACGGGATTGCAGTGTTTGGAACCAGAGCACCATCATCACTAGTGTATGCGAACCCCCCAGAGATGAACAAAGGACAAATTTGGGAGGGGGACCTGCCTGATGCTCCAAGAAGAAGAGAATCCCGTTGTAAGAGACCACACGAATTTCCTGTTCAAAGCGCTTGGTCGAGCCGATCTGGCTCTCAAATTTAATTTCTGCGTAGCCGGTACCATCAAAGTAGGAGCCATCTGTCAGCCAGGGATCTCCCGTGGATTTGGACCTGAGCAAGGCAAGAGAAAGAAAAAGAGTTACAGACTTTTAGGGGTGGGGAAGAGCTTTCAACAAAAATCTGCGATGGTCAAACGCAGTCTAAGGTTTAACTGCAAGTCACCCCCTCCCTGGTGACTATCTCGGCCCCCTTCTAAGCTCTGGAGGGACAGGAGACGTTCCCGTCATGCTGAAGGCAGTGTACTGAATTCTTGTACCTTGCACAGGGTTTGTCAGCAGCTGTGTCCAGGTGGAAGGTGCGCTGGAAGTTGTATAGACTCACCACCTCCTCGTTCAGCGTATCCATCTCGATGCAGCCCCGGTAGCTGGGGTAGCGCAGCGTCACTGGAGGCTGAAGAAGAAGGTCACTGTCTACGGCTATACTTCTTTAGGGTTAGTTTAATCTAGCAGGGCAGATCCTGCCTTCCTGAGCGTGCAGCTCTCACTTTAACGTAGGGGAAATAAACAGCCAACGGGCAAAGAAAGCAAATGCCTCCGAACAATGCTAGGTATTAAATGGAATGAGCTTATAACAAATGCCGAGATTCACCAGAGAGCTCAACAACCCCTTATCTCTAATGTTATCTAGAAAAGATGGAAACACCTGGGACATGTGTTAAGGGTGAAGCCAGAGCATCTGCCATGGGCAGTTGGAGGAACATATACAAGGGGCTGACCCAAAGAATCCCCCCATCCCCATCCAACAGTATTTAGAGAAGGAAATCTTATGGGACTTCCCAACAGAGGACAGGTACAGAGCGGCTCAGGACAGAATGGTACAGCAGGGCCACCTTTGTGCACTAAGTGCCGCCTGATGGATTCAGAACAGCTTGTTCATTTATTTGATAGCATGAGCGCGGCCCCCTGCGGTTTGTGCCGCTGACACGGGGTGGGGAGGGAGCCAGAGCTGTATCTGACCCAGGCATACCCACAGAAACAAGCTACACCCCAGGCCTGTGCAGGCGGGGAGCCAGGGGGAGGAACAGAGGGAAAAGGCTTTTTGTGGTATCGCAAAGCCTGGTCCAGGGGAGACATGAATGTGCCCACAGTGTAAATGGAGTCAACTGAGGATCTGGCCCAAAGAATCCAGGAACCCAGTCTCTGCCCGCTCCGCTGCGTTAACCCATCTCACCGTGAAGCCGGCGGGGTAGCCTCCCACATAGAAGACCACGTTGTGTGGCTCGAGGTTGAGCAGCCCCTGATCTCCTTTGGCTACGCTGTCTCCTTTCGTCTCGTGCAAGGTTTGCTTCTCCACGATCACAGACATGTGTCCATATTGCAGGATCCTGCCCCCCCAGATCACACAGTCAGTACAAGGGGAGGAGAGAGCCAGGCAGACGGGGAATCCCTCTCCACACCCAAACCTCCCCCTCAGCTCTATCCGACTGCATGAGACTGCAGTGCACTTAAACTGGAGCATCTCAGAGTAGTCAGCAAATCACAGCAGCTTCACTGGGCTTTAAAGCCTGTAGCCACGAGGTGAAATGCTCATCTGTGGGGAGGCAGGCTCCAGTCGTGGAGCTAGGCACAAGCGTTGCCTCTTTGCCCAGGAAGGGCTGTCTCTGCTCTCCCTTCCCCAGCCCCTGCAGGATCTGATTAGAGCTAAGCACTCCCTTGGGCATTTGGGGGTGGGGGGGAGGAGGAAAGATATATTTTGGTTCTTTCGGGTGAGATTTTTACCCTGAAGTCCTGGCCACCTTTCAAAGACCCATGGCACTGCTAGGACGTGTATGTAATAGTGCCCCCTGCAGGCTTGCACTGGACTGGGACCCTGCCCTTTGATTAAATCCTGACTCCACATTACGTGCTACATGCCAACGTTGCTTGTGTGTCAATTGGATGCAGGGTCATTCTTCCCTTCCCGCACGCTGTTAATCAGCTGCTGCATTTCGCCCTGGATATGGCTGCGTTTTGGTGACGGGAGCCCTGTGATATCCTTTACTCATCTCACCAGGGAGAGGAGAAGTTTAAGTAATGTGTGACTGTAAGGGTGAAAGATGCTGTGACCCAAGAACCTCCTAATGCCGCTGGCAAAGGGGCACAGAGAGGATGCAGAGAGGTTACAGGTATCTGCTGAGTCTAGCTCATAGATTCTAGTTCACCGAAGAGGGCCATGGGAGATCTCTAATAAAAGCTTGTATAATACTGATCCTCGTATCTGCTACGAGAGAAATGTGTGGATGATACTTAAGGAGTTGTGTATATGTACTGTGACAGGCGGTCACCAACCAGAGGTGAAAAACTGGTGTCCCGTCAGACCAGAGATGTTTATCCATCTATTCGTTGAAATGTAAACCGAATATTGCCTCATTCCCAATCCCCAGCCTGAGCTAACTGCAGATGAAAGACAGAGATTTAACAGGAAGAGAAGAACAGCAGGGGGAAAAGACCCTTATCTGGGGGTGCCCTTCCAAGGTTTACTGGATTGTAACTGGGGGACAAGGAGAACACCTTCTTATCCTGCACCTAGGAAGTAAACAGACAGTGCATTTACATTTATTATAATGGGACCACTACCAGCCTTGGTTGGAAACGCAGCAAAAGGCTTTGGGTGAGATGAAGACTGGTTTAGACAGGAGGTTAACCTGTTAAGTTAAATTTAGTCTCTAGAAAACGCGTGTTGATTTTGTTTTATATGTAACACTTCTGTTTCCATTATCCTTCTTCACGGGAATATTCGACTCTCTGTTCTGTGTTAATAAACGTATTCTTGTTTTCACTACAAATGTATCTCAGTGCTGTGGGGCTTTACACGGCTGATCCCGAGCTGAACCATACAAGCTGGTGTGTACGCTGCTCAGTGGTACTTCTGAGAGTGTTCAGTGGAGAAGGGACTGGACTACAGGGGAACACTTCAAAGGGGCTCAGGGACTGGGGTGCACCTCCTGTTAACCTGGAAGTAAAATAAAGGCTGGCATAGCTAGAAGATTGTTTGCGTGGCCAACAGACAGGCGGTGTCAGGGGGTTGGCACCCAGTTAAGCACTAGGAAGTGTCCCTCTTCCTGGAGCCCGGGATGGGGGAGAGGGTAACAAGGTGATTCACTCCCAGAACTGTCACCGATGCGAATGCAAATTACTCTCTCTCTCGCCCTCTCACTTCCACTATGCAAAGTCTCCCTCTGCTGCTTTAGTTTCTTCTCTAGCTCAGCCCGCTACGCGAGTGGCTTGTGTGAATTTTGTACCTGTTGATGCTGACTGCAGCAAACTGCTCTCCAATCTCTTCGTCAATTGTTAGATAGGTCGGTTCTTCGTCCCCAAGTTTATAGATCCACTGCACCTTGCGGTCTTTGAGCACGATGCCCATGTAGTCTCCAGTGGCCTGAATGCACAGAGCAAACAATCCAAAGGGTTTGCAGCGGACCGGTCCAAAAAGGGGAAATCATTGAGGGAGTTTAAAGTAATGCTCTCAAGGCAAGGCGGCTCTCAGAATTTTTACGGCTGAGTGCACAGTCTTCCAGGAGGTTATTGGAGGCCTAGCTCCAACCAAAGGACACAATATACAAACCAGATACGCTCATCCCTCAAAAAACAAACGCTCCAGTGCGTGCAGAGCCCAGCACCTGCGCGTCAGAGGGATGCGCCATTGCAAGGGCTAGGATCAAAGCAACGTGGTGTTCACGTCGCAGTGGGAATGTGCGTGGGCTGGAGGCTCACAGTTACCTTCACACACAGCCCAGTGGCTCTCCTGTAAATGAGCAGCATCTAGCCCTGGGGGCGGCATGGCCCATGCGATTGCTGTCTCCTACCACACTCTCCCAGGGCCCCTGTGAGGGGACGACAGCAGCCCCCAGGTTCCGCCCGGAGGAAGATTTTGTCCCCTCTCCTCTCGGGTTGAATTCAATAATGTTTGGCAGCAATAGTGGACACCCTGCTCCCACTCTCAGTGCCTGAAACCTTTACAAGCAGTAGGGAGAAGCTGGGTGAATGGAGACAGCTGGCTTAGATATTCACTGGCTGAATGCAGCACATAAGACCTTCCTGATACGAGACTTTCCCACCCCATCCAGAGCTCTGCACTGACATCCATCGCACACTTGTTCCCCTTCTGGATCACCCAGCCCAAGCTCTGCCTGCTGCACGGTTCCCTCTGCCGCTCCTGTGCTTGGATGGGCAGCTCTTACCTCTTTATTGCCCAGGTACAATACGAACTGTCCCGCGTCGGCCCCGTCCTGACGCCGCTGCCTGGGTTTGGGCTCCGGGTTCTGGATGTAGAACTTGAGGGAGGTGTAGGCCGACAAATCCTGTAGGTCACTGGGAGTCCGGACCTGGACGCCCGAGGTGCCGTTGAACTTCAGTGGTACCTTCACCTAGAGGGGGAGAAATCGAAGCCAAGCTGACGGAAGCAGCCCAGGCAGCCTGACTCCGCATTTAGCGTGGGTCTGCGCTGTCATGAAAACCCTGCGGCACCGAGTCTCAGAGCCCAGGTCAGCTGACTGGGGCTTGTGGGCCTCAGGGTGCGGGGCTACAAATGTCAGTGGAGATGCTCAGGTTCAGGACAGAGCCTGAGCGCTGAGACCCTTCCTCCTTGCGGGGGTCTCAGAAGCTGGGCTCCAGCCCGAGCCCAAACATCTACACTGCGATTTTACAGCTCCCCCAGCCCAAGCCCTGTGAGCCCGGGCCAGGCACGGGGCTCTTCTTGTAGACCGACCCTTAGGCGCAGAGGGGAGGTGATTTTTGGTTCACTTGCAGAACAGATCCAGAAAAAAAAATTCACTTTGAGTCGACTTGAAACTAAAAATTGTTGAGTTTTTGGGTAAACCAAAAAGTTGAAAAAAACCCCCAAACCCTGCATTTAGATGAGAACCAAACTTTAAAAAAAAATCTCAAATGATTTTTAAATAAAATTGATGCAAATGTCAGATAAAAAACGTGAAAGGTTTTCTTTCAAAACTGTCAAAATGAAACATTTTGATTTTGGGGGGGGGGGGGGAATTGTTTTTTGTTTGTTTCTCTTTGACCAAGAACTAGGTCAGTGAATTTGACACAAGTTTGCAAAATGTTTCAGTTGACCTCAATCTGTATTGTTTGCCCCCCCCCCAAAAGCTTTGCCTGAAATCTTTTGCCCAGCTGTACTTAAAGCCGAGATTTAACCACGACAAAGTACTTTTATGGAGGCTCTGAAGGGGAGATCCATAAAGATCATGTGGAGCCTGCTGCAGATTTGGAGGGGCCAGGGGCGTGACCACAATGTGTACGATCAAGACTGACTTCTCTACCCCCTCAAATGGATCCCCCAATATCTGGACTTCAGAGCAATCCCTGCTCACCCCACATTGCCACAGCCTTGAAAATCCGTTTTTAAAACTGCCCTACATGATGCAAAATGTAGCCTCATTGGCCAGTCAAAAGGGGAATAAAGTTTCCACATGCATTGCCTTCATACAAAATCAGTGAACCTGCTTTGGCCAAACAAGATCCAAACCAAACTCAGGGGCTCCCATGAAGCCTTGCGGAGAGCAGCTTACGGGAGGTTTGCTTGGTGCCTGCCTGTGCTAATTAGGGCCCTCAGGGGTTCACCTTCCGACCCGTGGCACACCAGCACTCTCACATATACAGCCCTCTCCCCCACGCCCCTACCTTGCTAGCAGCATTTCTGGCCTGCGTGATCAGTTGGCGGATTCGCAGGATGTTCTCGGACACAGTGGAATTCTTATTCCTCCTGTTCTCCAGGCCACTCAACTTCTCCAGCAGCAGCGGAATGGTGCTTTCCAGGTTCGACACTGGAGGGCGTGATTCGGGGAGGCAAAGGGCAACAGGGGATAATGATCAGCGGGGTGGAAAGGGATCCTACACTCAGCTATCGGGGGCGCAAGCCAAAGAAATGGACACAGCGCAGCTGTCACAGGGAGCGAAGCAGTGGCTGACGTGCACACCTCTCTTGCAGGACTTGCTGGCAGCATTAACAAAAGTGACTTTTAAAAATACAGCCGTAAAGTGCATCCAACACATTGTAAGAACATCCACAACCCGCCCCAGTGGATGACCTGGACTTTGCGAAGAGAGAGGAAATCAGAGGGGGACACACAACAGCCTCCCTTTAAACTTGTCAGCAGGGAACAACAGAGACAGAGCAGCACTTAGCTACCACAGTGAAGTGCTTCATGACGACAGCAGTGTCCTGGCCTTTATCCCCAGCATGGGGATACCACGGCTAACCCCCATCTTTCCATACCAGACTTCTTGGCGTCTTGAACTGCCTGGTTTAAGTCTTCATTTTTAAGGTCTCCATACTGGTCTTTCCACTCATCCAGGTTCTTCTTCATGTTGCTCAATGTATCTTCCACCCTGGCAACCGTGTCATTGGCTGCTGCAGCTGCTGCCTTGGCACTCTGAATAACTGCCGTGGTGTTATCTTTGAGAGGAAAGGAGACAAGTCTCAAACTCAGCAAAGAGCAGGAGGGAGGGCAGAGCTCCTAGCTTCTGACTGGAGTCAGCACCATGCTTCTGCATCAGCTTAGCAATGATGGGACCTGACCTTATGCAATAACAGACGTACATGAGTTGGTGGCTCATACACACACTCAGCTCCTCAATTTCAAAAGCATTACAAGCCCACCAATGAAAACGGGCCTCTGCCAAAATTCCCCCCTCCCCCCCCAGGAGGTAGAGGCAGTTTAGACCTTCAGCCCAGAAAATGAAGCAAGATGTAACCAATGTATAGGGTCAGGTATACGCCCGCAAGGTCCCTGGATGGGCAAACCACTGGGTACCTACCATGACCATAGACTGCCCTGCGTGTTAGAAGGGACTACAGCTACGCTTTTCTCCTGTGATGTGCAGAACTCTTGTCTAGAAGAAACTGGCTACAGACAAACCTTGGTCCTTGTCCAGCATGTTCTGTACAGATCGCAGCTGGTTCAGGAGCTGCTCCTTCTTCTCTCGGAGATCGGTCAGTTTGTCCTTGGCTGCCTGCAGCGTCCCTTTAATAGCTGGAAATAGACGTATATAACACGTGAGGTGTTTGTTCATCTATCGCTCCTCCAAAGCACATCACACACCATCACTTCCACCCAAAACCAACACACGCGCGCGCACACACACACACACACACAGCTTTCTATTTTTCCCACGCAGAAGAATTTCCCACACTTGTGTCCACTGCTGGCCCCTCTCTTACCCCCATCGAGTTTCCTCTGCTCCCTTTTCACGGCTTGCTCCAGGGCACTGCTGTTCTTCTTCAGCTCTTTAGATAGGGCACCAAGATCTCCCGATACAACACTCTACAAACACACAGGACACCTCTTCACTAACTGTCTGGAATCTGGCACCAAGTGGTTCAGCACCTGAGCCCTAGGATTGGAAGAGGACTTCAAGTCCCCATTCCCCAGTCTCAGCAAAGGCTAAATGCTAGGCAAATAGCCAATGTTGGTCAGAAAGCATCTACACCACCTTCAGGCAAATGTTTTGCTGGGCAGGGGTGTGTGTTTGTGTGTATGCGTGGGGAGGGGTAACAGAAAGGAGAATTTGAGGTACCAGATGCCAGAGTCATTTAGTCACATCACTTAATGTCTCACTGCTTCAGTTTCCCCATGTGGTGAGGTGGAGATACGAACAGGTGTCTCACTGCAGTGAGGGCAGGCTGAGCCCATACGAGACCTCAGATGGAAGGGTGACAGCAGTGTCGGGTATCAGCATGAAGAGCTGCAGCGTGGCCAGGGGAGCAAAGGGCACCGGGCCGGCTCATTGGAGCCAGGATTTTGCAAGGGTGGGTGTGGGCCTGAAGGGAAATTGCATACTGTCAAAGCTTCACCGGCTGCCTCGTCAGCGTCTTTGGCGGCCCTCTCTGCGTTCTTCACAGCCTCGATGATGCTGGCATATGCGTTGGAGGCATTGATCGCTCGCTGGATGAACCCATCCTGGTTTGCACCCTGGATGCTGCTGCATTTGAAGACAAATAAAGAAAGTCCATTGTCAGAAGCGCAGTGGAGCATCAGGGGCCAGACCCAAGCACTGGCAACACATGTCACTGTCCTGGGCTCCCCACTTTAAGACCCCCCCCCCCAATATGTGGGGTTTTCACTCACAGCCTGAACAACTGGCTTCCCCAT